TATCACTATTAAAGGTTGGTACGGTATCTCTAGTAAAAGTTAAATCTCACATCTATGTGATAATTTTTTTAGAGATCTATACCAACTTTAATGGTGATTATTTGGGGTCCTACACACATAGATGGAAGAGAGTCCTATAGGATCATTACTCTATATATATATATATATATATATATATTAATTTTTGGCTGCTTGAGGCTGCTAACTTTGCTCGACCCTATATCTGTTTTTTATTCATGTTATTTCTGCTTGTTCTCTTTCTTTCGGTAAGTTTCGTTAAATTGTTTCTATTGTGCAATATAACGATATGTGGATACATGAGTAAGAAGTTTACATACGGTATCAACCTTATGCTATAAAACAATGACACATTTGAAAAATCTGTTGAAAATGTCTGTTTTGACTCTAGAAAAATATCCATTTGATCATCTTGACTTTAAGATTTGTAGATATGAAAAGAAAAAGATTTTAAGTCCTAACAATAATGTATCTTGTAATATATTATTTGGAAACTATCTATTTTTTGAGATTTTTGAGTGGTTATAAATCTGCCTAATCTGTATAATTTTCTTGAGCTTTGAATCTTATATTAGGGGTACAAATAGATTTTTAGAGCATATAAGAATTTTCGGAATCAAAATTACGAACAAGGAAGGTAAACATCACCCGGAACATGGAAGATAAACATCTACCCCCGGATCTCTTTTCATATTTATTTTGCTTTTGGTATTGAATGGTAAGCAAATGCGTAAATGGTTAGAATCCCACCTTAGTCAAAAGTAAAGGGAGTATTGGAAACTCTTACGATGACTTGAAAATTTGTTTCGGCCTTAATCAGTAAATTTCAGCTCTAAATATTGTAAATCACACAAATTTATAAATATTTAAAAATCTTGAAAAAAAGACGATCTAGATAATTTGTTACAAGATGCTTTATTTTTAAGACTTGTTTTTATTTTTTTTTCATCTCCATACGTCTTAAAGTTGAGATAAAGTTGATATTAATTGAAAGGGTTTTTCAGCATCAAAACAACAATTTCTAATGAGTTTTTGAGATGCACTTCACTTTATAATATAAGGTCGACAACTTTTTATGAACTTTCTCATGTTTGTCTTGCCATAAAATTTCTCAAGATTTATTTTGACCCAAAATTCCAAAAAAACACCGTGCCGTGATGGGGACCCGAGTTTCCTAAATGCTTAAAAGGCTTTTAATAAGCATTAGTAGGAGTGTGACCGCTACTTAAGAGGGAAGGTCATCCCCCTTAATTTTTTATTTAATGACACTGTCGTGGAATACTCTAGTAGAATATTTGGCTCCCCCATAGGCCTCTCAGAGCCGGGTCAGGCTATTTTTTTAAAAAAAAATAAAATTTAAAGTAAAGAGAAATGAGGGCCGGGCTGGCTCTGTCATGGCCCAGACCCTACCAGGCCCTCGGGCCACATTTTATGGCTGAGACCTAAGTTTTTAGGGCAGGCCCACCAAGCCCATTGCCACCCTTATTACTGGGTTATCGATTAAGCATACCGAAGAAGACCACCTGACGGAGAGGAAATGGCTTTTGCGAATATTAAGCCAAAAAAATTGGGGGTCCGAAAACACCCTAAAGTTATATATATGGGTGCCCTTCAAAAAAGCAATCCCGCAACTACTAGGGAAGTTCGACGACATGAAGCAAGAGATTTTTTGGAACCTGGAAGTTCTAGCTTCCTATCCTCCACCACCTGAAGGACCAACTGATAGCTCAGGCCACCTGTCCACTGTTCATGCCACTTGTCCTAACCTCTTTCTGAGTCCTATATCCTTCAAGTGAGTGGGGTTATAGTGTTTCTCTTTCTAGGTTTCAAACAAACCCGTAGTACTGGTGGGTCACTATTTCAGTCTACAGGGACAGGCCTAAAAAATGTTAAAAAGTGGGACGTTTCTCTCTTAAAGATGGGTATGTATCACTCTCCCTCTCATTATAAACTACAGGGACAGGCCTAAAAAATGTTAAAGTGGGACGTCTCTCTCTTAAAGATGGGTATGTATCACTCTAGTGGAATCCATGTGCTCCGCACGTGATTTGATTTCTTTTAAAATAAATTAGAAGATTTTTAATAAGAATGTGGTTTAAATAAGGTTGCAACCTTAAACCATCAAAGTAAGGTGCACTATCAAATTTTATCATAAGAAGTAATCTTGGCATAAAAAAATTCATAGGATATCATAAGAATCTATTTTCATATCTAATTATAAAATTTTAGACTAAAAAAATGGTTCAAATCAAATAGATCTACAAATACATGAAAATATTGAAAATGGACGGTCTAGATAATAAGTTACAAGATGTATTTTGGGTCTCAAAATCTTTTCTTTTTCATACTCATACATCTCAATGTGGAGATGATCAATTAGAGGGTTTTCCAACTTCGAAGTAGCCTTTTACAATGGATTTTTTAAGTGCTCATTAATTCTACAATTTAAGAGTGCTATGCTTACGGTGCTGATTTATTGTGTTGCCAGCTCAATTTGTGTGATGAGTTTAGGTGTCAAATAAAAGTGGCTCTAGAGATACCTACGGAAAGGTAATAGTGAAAATTTTATACTATAAGAACATGTAAGAACAACATATGCAGCCTATATTTTGTCAGAACAAATGTAACTTAGTAATTTTGTAATTTGACCGATAAGTTGATGTTATACTTATAAAAGAATAAAAATTTGAAAGTTACATTCAATTAATATTAATAACTTTTTGAGCAATGTCAATTAATATTAATATTAAATGAACTACTGTTTAGGATTGTACAATATGTCATTTTTGTGGTGGCACCATATTGTGTTTCTCATATAACTTTGTGTTATTGTTTTAAAGAATTACTGATCTTAATTATGCCACTGTTTCGAGCAGTGCAAAGCGTCATTTTTGTGGTGCCACTATGTTGTGCTACCTACTTGACTTATGAGATTCATTTTAAAGAAATTAATATGAATCTAGAATTTATTTAAAATAGACATATTGTTTCATTATAGAGTTTAAAGGGACATGTTGCTCAAAAATTATAAACTTGGAGTTCTTTATTGTGATTTTGCTAGATTATGTTATAGGTTTGTTTTCATTAATCTTGTAGTAG